TGCATCTGTGATTCTGGAAACATTTGTCACTGAACATGCAGTGTGTGTGTGTGTGTGTGTGTGTGTGTGTGTGTGTGTGTGTGTGTGTGTGTGTGTGTGTGTGTGTGTGTGTGTGTGTGTGTGTGTGTGTGTGTGTGTGTGTGTGTGTGTGTGCGCGATGGTTACAGTGCTTTGCCTTTCTCCTCCATTTGTCCTCCCAGAGGCAGATCAGGCGGAGGAGAAATAAATTGGAGAAAGAGAATAAATCAATGCTAAACTGAGCACCAGTGAGACCTCCTAACCCTGAAACTGTCACATATATACACGCACACACTCAACACACACGCACGCACGCACACACACACAGACACACACACACAATAAGGGAAGAGAGAAAATATAAGACAAGATATAGTTAGCAAGATTTCTGTCACTTGCCAAGACTGTTTAAAGCTTTTCATTTTTTAAAACTACTGACACTTCAAATATCTACAGTTCTGAGACTTCACCTCAAATTATCAGAGAGTTACATTTCATCTGTCTGCTGTTAATATTTTTTGTTTTTACAATTACTGACATATTAAATTGAACATAGTTAGTTATTGAAGCGCGAAACACAAAGAGAGAAACATCAGCCCAGACTTGCACAACTATACAGTACATACATTCTCAGTCTCACACTTTTTACACGCAGTGTTTGCCAAACACAAAACACACTTTTCATATTACACATCATTCAAAAAGTGACAGTCTGTGTGTGTGTGTGTGTGTGTTAATTGCTAAACACTGCCACTGAAACAACAAACTTAACTGACCATCACCTGCACTCAGAAAGCACATGTGAAGTCCACAATCGCATCACACAGAAATCTGAGCTTGAACACCATAAACAGGAGTTACGTTTGCTTTTTGGTGTGAACAACAATGGAGGACAAATTTAGGGATAGAGTTAGAGGAAAAGGAGCAAGAGGAGAAAGATTGGAGACAGGATAGACTGTCATTGCAATACTGTTTACCAGTTACAAACCAGTAACTGTGTACCAGTTGGCGGTGGAAAGATCTATGTTTGTGTAGCGTTTGGATGTAAAAGTATAATTCTTAGAAGAGTTTAGATGATTTTGAATGTAGTGCTTGCATTTTGAAGAGATGAAAGATGTTGTGTTTTTTTGTTTTTGTTTTAGTGTGTAGAGTTTTTACATACAGGGCCCTTGTTTCAGAAAGAGTGGGACTGGAAAACTGTAAACTGACTGACACTTTAACTGAAATATAAACTAGTTTTTATCATTTACACTATTTAAGATGTTCACACTATCAGGTCCACTATCAGGGCTTTCATTTCAGGTCACCCTTTGTTTCTGTTCCTGTTATTGTGATTGGATTCCCTGACTGTCTCACCTGTCCCTGAATCACCATATTGTTTTGAGGCTTTGTCTTTGCCTGTTTTTTAGCATCAGTTTTCTTTAAACCTACAGTGTTTTCTAGTGTCAACCTTTCTGGTATTTTATGTGTTCTTCTTTTTTAATTTTCTTCTTTGAGACCTTGGATCCCCCCCCCCTCCCCCCTTGCTTTGCGTGTGGATGGTTACTCGTGGCTTTACTTGTTTGCTTCTTTTTTGCTGGACCTGTCATTTTTTTCAAATAATTTATTCCTTAGACTCGTCATTATCAGTAAGCCTTAAGTTTGGCCTTTTTCTATCTTAAGAAACCTGCTGTTGGTTCTCCTCATTTTGTGTTGACATGGTAATTACTGCAAGTGAGAATAATTTATTCATTTAGTATGTTTTTATCTCAGTGTATGATTATGTACAGCAACAAACAAAACACAGTGCTCATCATAATGGTTAAAACCAGTGTTTCAGAAACGGCTAAACCAATAGACACCAAAACAGGACACTGCAGACATCACTACAGTTTCTTTAAACACTGACTGCTCTGTAGTGATCTTAGGGCCTGGACGTCTTCAGCTGCAGATGGAGCGGAGCGCAGGCGGTTTGGGGTTAGAGGGAGAGTATAGATTGGGATTATGGGGGTGCATTGGGGAAAGGCTCTTCAGTGTGTTTTCTATTCAACCTAAGTCCTCTAAGACCTCCTCATCTCTTCTGAGAGCAGCAAGCTGAGATCTGATCTAATGCTGAGTGCCACATGTGAGTGTGTTTGTGCGAGAGACACACACTTTGATGAGAGCCTGCTGGGGATACGAGTGTGTGTGAGTAATGAACAAGTCTTGAGTTTGTGTGTGTGTGTGTGTGTGTGTGTGTGTGTGTGTGTGCAGGCTTGTGTGTGCTTACATTTAGGGGTAATAAAGAAGTGCAGGGTTTATATATTACTCTCTGTGTGCACTCTCCCTCCACCCCGAAGGGTTGTTTGGGGTATTCTGTGCAGGTTTGGCTCAGGGGGGAGGTGGGTTCTTGGGGTCTTGCATTCAGATGTAATTAGCCCAGACAATGGCCTGGTTAAAGCTGGAATCCTTCGAGCCCCCTCTGCCTTTGATTGTGTGGGCCAGCTGTGGAGGAATGGCCATTATCTCCCTGTGTCCGGCAGCATAAAGAAGCCCCCTTGCCCCAGTTACCCCTGCACGGGAGTTCCCACAGGGGGAGGGACATGGGCCGGTCACACGCTGGCCTAGAGAAAGTGAAAGTAGCCACAATACTGCTTATCTTGCAAACATTCAAACATTTAAATGGCTCCGCCTTGCATTGGAGTCTCTCTTTTTTTGGGACTGGAACTATTTACACAAGAGTGGAAAAAATGGCTTTTCATGTCTGGCATTAAAGAGTGGAAAAATCAGTCTTCAAACAAAGTCATAAAAAGCCAAAGATGGTCAATTATGTTGTTGTATACAAAGATTTTCTTTCTTGAACATGTGTCTCAATCATAAATATCTCATAGAGCATTCTGTCTGCGCATTGGGACACTTAGGCCCATTAGACTCGTGAAGAGATTGAATCTTTACAGCACTGGGGCCATATAATTACTGTTAATTTAACGCTCAGATTCTCCATCATTAACTCTCACTGTTGAATGCAGAGCAAGAGACACGGGAACACAGACAGTACGTGTTGCTGAGGTGTCACATGTGTTGACAGCAAACCCAACCGTTTGACTGAATTAATGGCGACCTCTTCATCTTGTAAGAGCAGGACTCGCATCATTTATGCATTATTAAGTTCTGTAATTGGGCGGCCAGTAGTTTGCATATTAGTCGATTAGGGTAATATGTTTTGCCCGTCTCAACACACGGTCTTGTCAGAGCCCCTGGCGACACATTTGGTAATTCTCAGAATTACACCCTAATCATAAGCCGGTGTTCTTTGGATCCCTATAATTCAATGTGCGTCAGTTTATGTAGAAACATGATTAGATTCACAGTATTTGTCAATTAAGCTATCGTTTCCTGTGTGGTATTGTATTGAGGATATATGGCATATTTTGTCGCCTTTCATAGCATCAAACTTTTTCTATAAATTCACGATAAATCATCTACATATATTGTCATTGTCTCATGTAATTTTTTCTCTCTTTTGGTGATACTTGATTATTTCAACTTTCAACCTTCAAAGACCTTTACATTTTTTGTAGCTGTTAGGCTTTACAGGCCATGTTCCACTTTGCACCAATCACATTTGCAAAATACCAGTAGTTGCCAAAGTAGGTCCAGGGTCCCCCCCAAGGAACTAAAAGTTTTTTTTGGAGGGGATGTTTGTGTGTGTGTGTGTGTGTGTGTGTGTGTGCGTGTGTTGGGGGGGGGGGGGGCTCATCTAAAGAAGGATTAGTTTGAATGAAACACCATTGTGGTCTTGTAAAGATAGAACAAGAAGATAAAGCAGAATTTGTCCTTTGATGATTTCTTCACTGTCAAACATCACAGTAGTTTTCCTTAAATAGTGCCAAGACACCACAGAACTGTTTCTGAGTCAACAGTTTTATGGTATGGTGTTAGAATAATTGCAACAATATTCTTCTAATCCTTAACCTAAGTAGTTGTAATAAAAACAGTGTATTACTTCTAGAATCTTAGTCATGTGAAAGTACTTAATATCATTTCAAATGGACAGGAGGTATTGGAAGTTAAATTATTTTAATACAGAAAATAATTTAATTTTTTTTTTTTAAATGTTCCATAATATTAGCATGTACACGTTACAGCTGCAGCTAATTGGAACTTCTTTATAAATTATATTGTTAATAATAAAAAATAAAAAATGATGCATCACATCTTCTCAGGTTAACATTGTGTGTACACTATTTTTCTTTGAAGTTAAATATGACGGTTAAAATAAATGTAGTAGTGTAAAAGGTTGACCATGTGGCTTTAAAATGTGATAGAAGTGAAGTTGAGTCATTTCAAATATTTAACTAATGGTACATGCTTAAAATATTACTTGTGTGACAAATATGTAAATATGTTCAACCGCTGATGGAGGTGGATATTTGTGGAGTGCTTGTGGAATAATTAAAAACTCTTGATAGCTATCTCTGTTTTTGTGCATTGGAGGATAGAGGCACTTTCCCCTCATCAAAATATTTTGGATGGCAGCTTTGGGAAAAGCAAGCCCTGCTTGCCAATGTGCGTGCATCCATCCACAAGTTTACCCAACAGGCAGGTGTGAGGGAGCAGAGCAGGCTGGGGTCTCTATTCTTGAAGCCTCCTCTCTTTGGCCCCGAGCTGCCCTTTCCGCGCGCCCCCCATTATTTGTCCCGACGGCCGAGCGCGCGGCCCCAATGAGCCCTTTGGAACGGAACGAAAAAAAGAAGCGAATTGCAGCTGTGACGTGGGCGTTGTTCCATTCACCGCGCTCGTCATGGCAACGGGGCAGAGGCCCTGGAAGCACGCGGCTTCTCTCTCTGGACAGCGTCCTGAGGGCAGAGAGGCAGCTGGAAGTTTCTGCTCATGATCTCTGCTCACCGTTTAATGCCGCAAAACAGACAAAATATGCTGCTCCAAATGCATGAAGAAAAAAAAAAAAAGATTAAAGTTTTACAATTTGGATTATTCTGAGAGTTAAAGTTTTATTACGGAACAAAACACAAATTAAATGTGTATCTTAAGCACCTTTTACGCACAAACTCAACATGTGATCCACTAACCCACATTCATTTTTAAAAAAGTACTTTCAAGCATATAGAAACCTTCCCGTTCCAGCGTTGCTGGTTGAGTCTTTTCTGTTTACACTCCTCAGCCTGGTTTCTCTCTCTACTATGTACTCTACATGCTGCAGGACTGCTAGTATTGTTGGGCAGAGTGATTGGGGTTGCTGTACAATCTCCCGTGACCAATGAGCGGGGTGCTGTCAGGGGTAACCACATCTGTCAACCGTTCTTGGCCAATAAAGAGCGGAGCGAGGCGGACCACAGGTGCGCGCCTCTGCGTCCCCTTGGCACAGCGCCGGGGAGATGCTGGTGAGAGACGCCTCGCTGCCCCGTGGCGCAAAAGAGTTCCTGTCAAAGGCAGCCTCCTTTTAACTCTAGTTATCACTCTGGCTGCGAGAGTTATGGCGACTGCAACGTCCAACCACTACAGCGTCCTTAGCACCCCCAGCAGCGCGCCGCCGCCACACTCGGAGTCCGGGAGCATGCAGCAGGCGGCAGCGTACAGGGACGCGCACAGCCTGCTCCAGAACGACTACAGCTCGTTACCGGGCGGCGGACATCCTCTCAGCCACGCGCACCAGTGGATAACGGCACTGTCTCACGGTGACGGCGGGGCGCCCTGGCCATCTAGTCCCATCGGAGAGCAGGACGTGAAGCCCGTGCTGCACGACAGTGACCGAGAGGAGCTGCAGAACTCCAGCAGTCTGCAGCAGCAGCAGCAGCAACAGCGACACCCTCACCTCGCGCACCAACAGGCACATCACGACGCCAGAGCATGGCGAACGAGCACCGCCACCACGCACATCCCCGGTATGGCGACTTCTGAGGGCCAGAGCCTGGTCTACTCCCAATCCGGTTTCGGTCTGATGCCGGGGGGAGAGCAAGGGGGGATGCACCACCACCCCCTGCGGGACGAGGACCACCACAGCCACAGCCCGCACCTCAGTGATCACGGAGGCGGCCCCGGGGCCCATCAGCAGTCTCTGTCACACCACCACCAGCACGGGGGCCACCAGGACCAGTCAGACGAGGACACACCGACCTCTGATGAGTTGGAGCAGTTTGCCAAGCAGTTCAAGCAACGCCGCATCAAGCTGGGCTTCACGCAGGCGGACGTGGGTCTGGCTCTGGGGACGTTGTATGGAAACGTGTTTTCTCAGACCACCATTTGCAGGTTTGAGGCGCTGCAGCTGAGCTTCAAAAACATGTGTAAACTCAAGCCCTTGTTGAACAAGTGGCTGGAGGAGGCGGACTCCACCTCGGGGAGCCCCACGAGCCTGGATAAAATCGCGGCACAGGGGAGGAAAAGGAAAAAGAGGACCTCCATTGAGGTGGGCGTGAAAGGGGCTTTGGAGAGCCATTTTCTGAAATGTCCAAAACCAGGAGCTGCGGAGATCAACTCCCTTGCGGACAGCCTGCAGCTTGAGAAGGAGGTGGTGCGGGTTTGGTTTTGTAACAGGAGGCAGAAGGAGAAGAGGATGACACCCGCGGGAGGACAGATACCAGGAGGGGAGGACATGTACGGGGACTCCCCTCCTCACCATGGAGGACAAACTCCTGTGCAGTGACCTCCCCCCAAAAGTCCATTATACTGAGACAACAAGGACATCTTAAGGAGGAGGTTTCAAGCCTCTATTATAGTTTGTCTGTGCTGGACTGCGCAGAACTGGACCTCAGTCAAGCTAAATGTTGGACCCACGGACACACACACACACACACAGTGGGACACACACACAGTGGGGATCTACAGTGGCACTCCAACACTGAAAATACGCAGAGTAGTGAGCTGTGAGGAGGTTTCATGCCGCGGGACTGCCAAGCATACTGGGAGACGTCTGGTGTGTGCTAACCAAAAGAAGAAAAAAAAAAAATATCGAACGCTTTTCTGTACGTTTCCCCAAGGCGTCATTATTTAACGCGTCATGAAAGAAAAGGCATTAAAGAGGCTGGTGTGGGCACGAGGTGTCCTACTAGGGGGTGGATATTTAAAAATACAAGCTCGTGGCTCGAGGAGAAGTCGCAGTCAGTGTGGGTAAATAAACGCCATCTTTCCATCATAACAAAAGCAACAGGGGTTCTGCTCAGCGCGTGGCACGAGAGGCTGAAATGGCAGACACCTACTGTACAACGTAAAAAATACCAGCTATTATTATTTTACTATTATTATTATTTTTATTATTCATATTATTATTCATATTATAGGCTACCTTTTAGCTGCCTCCAAAATGTATGTCCAACTTGCTTTACATTTTCAGAATAGCGTTTGTAATTTATAATGAACAATAATGATATAACAATAATAATGATAATAATAACAATAATAATAGTAATAATAATTTCGTTTCCATAGAGACTTGTTCTCTTTATGCTTTCCTTTCTGTGCAGACCTCTCTGTGCTCCTGTTTACAGTCTGTGTTTTTGCTCTTTGTTATTTCTCTACTTTTCCAAAATGCTGTGACAAGAAAGACCGAGACTGTCCGAGGCTGGAAAACAATCCAGCTCATCTTGCCTTCCTTTATAAGAAGAAAACAAACTGAATATATTTCCTGGTATACCAGCTATGGCCGCAGTGGCTCTACTATTACTACTGTGTGACTCATTCATTCACTGAAGAGACTTTCTGTGGGATGTATCTCAAATCGTTTTTGTATGGCCTCGTTTGTTTGTTTGTTTGTTTGTTTGTTTGTTTGTTTGTTTCGTTTTCTCTCTGTCAGTCTGTGCCAAAGCACAAACACAGACACGTGTTGTTGGTGCCATTCAAATCCTGTGATTAATTACATGAATTGTTTGAGGGGGAGGTTATTGAAGGAAAGAGTTGGAGATTTATTCTCTGGCTACAATCTAATAAAATTATAGAAACTCAGAAACTCAAATCCAACTGAAGGATGTAGCTGATGGGAAAGAAAATAGTTCCTAATGTTCTTGAACAAATAATGTGAATTTCATAAACTTTCTGAATGTAGAAATAACAGTGGAAAGGAGGATAATATTGAAACTCATTTTAATTAGGTCTATTTTAAAGAAAATAAAACGTTGAAAATGTATCTTAACGATATTTGACGTAGGCCTATTTGTTGTCTATAGTTTCTTTACTCTAGATTGTATTGCATAATAAATTAAACGAGGCCCAGTATTTATCTTATCTTAAATCCTCGTTTTAATTCTGATCACGTCACACAATCCTTCAGCTGAATTTTTTTTTTTTGAGTTGGACAAAAAAAAAAAATCAATAAAACCAAAATATAATAGCATTGACCTGAAATCTGTGAACCAACAAAGAAGAAAAAAGAAAAATCAACAATTGCACAATTTCTACATGCTTTTTGTCATTAAATCGTATTTGTTTTCTATATTACTGCAGTCTCTACTCGTTTATTGGACTTCAGGAAATAGCTCTGACCAAATGCATGTTTATTTTTTTTTCTGCTGCACGCGGCCTCGCATTATAATCGTGATTTGATCAATCCGTCTCGGTTGCTTCAAATTGTCCTTCAGCTGTTTGGGTGAAGTGTTTACAACCGCTGATGTGTAGTGATACGCTTACAGCCGGGCATGGGCCTTTAATTGAAACATAGCTCGGCTCTAATTAATATTTGCATCAGGATAAATATGGGAACTAATTGACACTCATGGAGAGACGTAATTTAAAACATCAAAACCATTTCTGTTCTGAACAAGGGACACACAGGAAACAACAGGAAACGGCTTCCTTATCTGCAAAACAGAGGATGACGCAGTATAGATCAGGAAGATTAGGCTGTTGTGTGTGGTATTGTGTGTATTGTGCTCAAATCAGGCCTGCTGTCATCATTACAGAAAAGTACAAATACAAACATGAAGTGAAGTTTTCGAAGGAAAAAAAGAAAAATATTGATTGTAGAATTGTTTTATATGTTTTCAGACAGAAACATATAAAACAATTCTATATTCCAGTTTTTCTATTGGATGAGCCGCAGTGTAATTCAATAGTGAAAAAAATTAACCTCTCGTGTTTTTCGACATTTTGGAGGGATTTTATTACAGGACATTGCTTGGTCTAATTTCACTAACTAAATTGTGTATTCACTTTCTTTCAGTATTTCAGCTCTGAAGATGAGTATTTTTTTTTACTTCATTTAGGCCGATCATATTAGACAGATTCCTTTTGGGCTGATCTGTGGCCAAATCAGAAATAGTCAGCTGACACCCCCTAGTGGTGTCGGGAGGATAAAGATGGGCTAAATGAAAGGAGGGAATTTCTTCATGATGTCTATCGCTTAAAACCTGATAATGCTCTTCTTTAACTTAATAATAATAAAATTATTACCTTAGCCTTTAGTACTATTAAGGAAAATAAGTATAGATTATTCCTACTCTATACGTTGTGGCTTTTATAAAAAAAAGTTTCATTATACAGTTAAAAACATACTTTCAGTATTTTTTTCCCATCAAATTTCTTCTCTCAACCAGAGTTGAATCACTGCCAAAGTGAAGGGTGCTTTGTAATGTTCAAGCATTCCTTACTTTTATTTTTGGAGATAAAGATCCTAACCAAAATGAGAAAACAGAGACAAAGTTCAGCAGTCATTTAAATTTAAAGTGTAGTTAGGTACTTTAAGATGTTGTGTTTTGGAGACTTTGTAAAAGTCACTTTGTGTACTACAAAAAAGTATAAACAAACAAAATGAACATCGCATAAGTATTCAAATCTGAAAAAAAAACTATATAGGCTAAATAGAATTAAAAGACTTTGTTTTGGGCAGATTTGGAGGTCTTGTGATGTCAGTGTTTCTAAAAAATAAAGCCCTGCTTATGATCACACTAAATTCTATGGATTGAAAAATAATAATAACTTGTGAATGACTGCTATGTTTTAAAGAAATGCATCAAGCAATTACAGGCAGTTAATTTACTCCTTACCACTGTGTTATTTTATAGTCTCATTAATGCTTGTAATATTCAAGCGTTTATGCTGAAATCTAAAACAGTATGCATGATGTCTCAGGTAAAAAAAAAAAAAAAAAGCAATTACAGAAAGAGAAAAGAGAAAAAAAGACATGTATGTGTGTGAGTAAGGCAGGTTTAAATCCAGCTCTCTGGAGGACCCTGATGCCGGGATTCTGTCCTATCAGCAGGCGGCCATCTGCCCTCCTCCCGGCCCTCACACTCGTACAGGCGTCCTCTGCATTATTCATTTTTTTACACACACACACACACACACACACACACACACACACACACACACACACACACACACACACGCAAAGGCACATCCTCTCCTCCCTGCGCACAACATTCAACCTCACACATCAAGCACACAGGCACGTGCAGACAACCATCCTCACAAACAAACACACACACACACACACACACGCACACACGCACGCACTGTACACCACCTCTGACTCACCAGGGCTGTTTCATGAGCTGGAGTCATTGTCAGCCCTGAATTATCTCCTCTGTCTTGTGTGGAAATAATCTCTCAGGGATTCTTGTGCACAAAGGCTGCAGAAAGAATTACAACCAGCCATGTCATCAAATATCATTCATCTTTTCCTGACAGTGTCTATTTCCCTTTTCTCAACCAAACACTCACACTTTCTCTCCCTCGACTTGCTTTCTCTTCCTCTGCACTCCTTTTCTCTCTCTCTTTCAGCACAAAGAAAAGGGCAGGGAGCTAATTCTTCAGCATTGTAGGGAGGGCTTAGTATTGTCATATGGTAGCAAGCACAGAGGGAGAGGGATTACCACACTGATACGTGCCAGACTGTACCCACATGTAAGCTTTGAAACTGAGAAAAAAAGATTCACCTTTTCTTCTAAGCTAGGAGCTGATTTCAAAACAGAATTACACAATAAGTGAGACAAAACAAGAAAAAAATACCACAGCTATATTTAATGAAATATTAATAGTAATCCATTGTCATACAGCTTTTTATCTCTAGGTTTGATACATTCATAAGAATCTTTTTTAAAGTTACAGAGCAATTTATTTTTTATTAGTTTCCCCCTTTTCCCCAACCCCCATGTTGTTGTATTTACAGCTTGATGATATTCCACAAGTGTTTCAGCACCCACAACACCACGAGACAAAGCAATATGGCTTCTAAAGTCTACAAGCGGAAATCTCGTAATGGGGAAGCAACATACGTCACAAGGCTGGATCCCTGACTTTGACTTTAAACAGCTAAGGGACACAGACAGATGAAAGTGATCAGAAACTAGAAGGGCTGTTAGAATTCTGAAAAACTGATCATCAGCTGATCAGCAGGATGACCGGCCTTGTCATGCAGATATGAGCTTGAGCAACCAGTGTTATTCAGCCTGAACATTTGACCAACCTTAAAAGTTTTCACTCGACATGAAGCTCTGCAGAAGTTCTTAAATTTACTCAAGATGGTAAATTATGCAGCAGAGGATGGGCTTTAACATTTGAACACAATGCCATTAATCTTATGATATTCAAACATTTACCAAATGACATCTCCAAACATGGACATACATGCAGTTACTGCAATGACTGGCAACAAGATAATATGCAGTGTCAATGTAAGTAAATGAAAACACAGTATTGCACTTATACACAGATCATACATACAAAGCTTGATTGAGAGCAACTCTCCACACGAGAAGAAAAACATGTAAACATGAGAAAAGAAGTGCAAAATGATTAACATGTTTCATAAATACAAGTACATAGACCACCAGACACATACATTTAAAAAGCATGAAATAAATTATTACAAAAATAAATAAGACACATAAAAACACAAGTCATTTGCTGGCACTGATTTAAAGTAAACAGCTGTAGGAGTCAGTGTCTGTAAGGCTAGAAAATGATACGAGAGAAGGCAAAAACATGCAGGCGAGGTGTTTTAAGACACAGAACATTGTTTTTTGGTCTTATTGTCAGTTACAGAAAATATCATTGGGTTGAAATGAATATGCAGCCCACATACCAAATGGCTTTTCAACTATTTCCTTATTAAAAAACTTGGTATAGGCTCTCATTAGCAATTTACTTTTTGATGTTCTGGGCATTATTTTGTTTAGCAGAGATCCCAGATGTTAGTCTTTGCCTTCAAAAAACATCATCATAATGTTCCTCACCCAAACCATCGAGCGATCATCTGTAGCCTATCATGGTCTTACCTCCAATAACCAATAGCCTACCACAGTAGTAAAGACGTCTTTCCCTCTAGGAGGCTATGTTTGATCTTCTGATTAGCCATGCCCTGCTACATACTGATGCTAGACACAACTCAAAATAGATTTCCTCATTAGCAGCATCTTCACACACAGCTCCTGACCAATGCAAGATCTTAGCGGCCGGTTGCAGCTCAATAACATTTCATCATCTGTAAACAATATATAGGCCAACATCATAAACATTTTTCATCAGCTTCCCAACATATGCTTTTTCATTCATTCTGATCAAGATGTTTCGGGGTAGCTACTGAGCTGAACCTTTTTCAAATAAAATCAACTTTTTGGTTCTCTCTGGGGGGAAAACAGTGTAGCCTAATTGAGACACTCTTTCTGAACTACATTAAACTTGTTTTGGTATTTCTGCACTGCAATCTCAAAAAGTGTATCCCACTTACAATTTATGCTAATAATCATCATATACATCTGCATTAAGGCTGAGTCATAGGAGCGTTTAATTTGGCCGTACTTTGTTGCAACATAAATCTATTCAAATGCAATCTCAGCAATCAGTGGTTTAGCTACCTAAATGAATCTGTGCAAAATGTTAGCATTCAGTTCAACGAGTCATCTCTGTGGGGGAGGCTAGCCAATTGTTCACAATTGGAGGATGCATAAACTTATCATCTTTGTCGCTACCTTCAATTTCCTTTAACCTCTTCTGTCCCAGTTTAAATGGCTTGACAAAAGAGGAATATATGAAACATGAACTTATCTTCGACAAATAGAGATAACTGAAGGAGCTACTGAGTTTGATAATTAACTGTTAGCTGCGCGGCTAGCAAACAAGATAGCAGCTAGTTAACCAGCTACATCAGTTCACCAACACAGTTGCAGCAGATGTCTGTTCAACATGAGTCTGGTTCTGCTCGAGGTTTCTGCCTGTTAAAAGGCAGTTCCTTCTCACTGTTGTGAATTTGCTAAATGTTGCTATGTGCTCATGGTGGATTAATGTTGGGTCTTCGTAATTATATAAGAAAGAGTACGGTCTAGACCTGCTCTTTTTGTGTAGTATCTTTAGATAACATTTGTTATGAATTGGCATGATACAAATATAGATGGATTGATTGATTAACCAACTAGGACAGACCAGACTTTGTATTAATAATGTCCAATATATTGCCCAAAGCGATACTTTAGTCCATCAGTCTAAATCATCAATCATCAGTC